ATTTCCTACAAAACTCAAGCAAAGCTACAAAAACACTAGAAAACACAAATTAGTAATAAAAGTGGCTCTAAAGAGCCAAAAACACCACTAATTATGACCATGGGACGGGGGTAAAACACTATATAAATTGGACGTATCAATTCTCTCTCCACAATACTTCTTCTTCTAAGCTAACATTGATGGCCTTACTCTACCACCAAATTCTTGCCCATTCCCCCTCCCATCAACCTGCCGCCCCTCTTTCTTCCTTTTTCATTTTTCTTCTTACTGACAATGCCTGCCGTTTTCTTGGTTTTCGATGAAGGGTGGGTTTTGAAGGTGGGTTTTTGGGTTGTGTGGATGGCGTAAGGTGGTCGGAAATCAAGGATGGGTGGGTTTCGAAGGTGGGTTTTCAGAGGTTGTGTAGGTAGCCTGGGGCTGTCGGAAGTCGAAGGTGGGTGGTTTTGTTTTGGGTGACGGTAAATAACTAGAATGACAGTAATTTAATGCTACAATGACAATAACTCATACCCTATTTGACAACAATTTTTTCAATTTTGTAAATAACTTTTACAATTATATCTAATTTGAACTGTTGTCAACTTAGAATAGTATTGTTAGATGGATTCTTAATCAATTATGATTGTTAATTGGATTTGATTTTTTATTAGACTAGATTCTTAATCCTAATTGAATGAACAACATTTGGAATGTAGATATCACATTGTTATCAACATTACTTATACTGAATTCTTAATCCTAATTGAATTCAATTCAGTTCAATTCAGTTCAACTCAATTCTTGAGAACAGAACTTAAAAGGTAAGGATTTAAATTGAAGTTAAGCTGAAGAGAAGAGGCCCTTACTCCTAATTAAATCCTTTGAAATTCAAACCTAAATGCATAACCTTGAAGTATTTAAAATATTAACAAACAATCCTTAGCAATCCCAATTGAATCTAATATAAAGAAACATGAATTTAACAATGTTAAATGAAAGTTCCACACTATAAACATTCCTTAATCCTAATTGAATTCGCTTCAGTTCAGTTCAATTATGTTCAACTAAATTCCTGAGAACTGAACTTAACTAATTGGATTTAAACTGATGTTAAGCTGAAGAGAAGAGGCCCTTACTCCTAATTGAATCCTTTAAAATCCTTTGAAGTATTTCAAATCTTAACAAACAATCCTTAGCAATCCTAATTAAATCTAATATTAAGTAACATGCATTTAACAATGTTAAATGAAAGTCAAGTTCCACACTACAAACATTTCTAGCTAATGGACCATTAACAATCCTAATTATAGTTAAAAACTATTAACAATGTATTTGAAAGGAAAATCCTAATTACAATCCTAATTGTAACTTATCCCAATTACCAATCCTAATTGAATCCTTTGAAATTCAATTCTCAATTAACAATCCTTAGCAATCCTAATTGATTCTAATATAAGGTGACATCCTTTTAACAACCTTAAATGAAATTCATGTTACACTACAATATACATTTCTATAGTCAAACAATTAACAATCCTAATTATAGTTAAACAAGTTAAACAATCCTAATTAACATTCCTAATTATAGTCAAACAATGTAATTCGAAGTTAAATCTTAATTACAATCCTAATTGAAATTGAACTCAATCCTAAAGTTTATGTAATTATGCTTAATGCCAACAAGACTTTTTGTTATTGATGACATAATTAGACAGTAAACAATATACGTAGGACAATAACACCAAGATACCTGACAATATAAATGTTTACATGACAAATGACAATAACTGATATCTATTTTCATAAGACAAATACAAGTTAAATATGATAATAACATATTGAAATATGACAATATATATGTTTACATGACAATAAAATTAAACTATATCTACCCTTTCCCTATGTTCTAAACTTTATACCCAATAGTCCGTGTCATCAATCGAAACCTCCCAAAATAGACAACGATCCAATAGTCCATGTCATCAATCTAAACGTCCCAAAATACCCCAATCACAAACATCCAATAAATATGATAAAGGAACCACTCGTCCATGTCACTAATCCAAACCTTCCAAAATGGACCAATCACAATCATTCCACGACATAAAGAACCAATTACCTTTATTCTTGATCAGCTACATGGATTCAACTATTGAGCTGATAGAGCCCAAAATACTTAGTAGTGGGATAACTACTGAGAAAATGCATAATCAAATATTTAAAAGGTTTGCTAACAACAGTAATTTACAACTAAATAAATGTAACGACAATAAACTTATCTGACAATGACAGTAGTTTACATTCAATTGACTACAATTTATTCACCTATGAAAATAATTGTTACAATAATACTAGAATTGCTAACAACTTTTGAAGTAAATTGTTACATGGACTTTTCTTTAAACTAATATTCAAATAGGATTGTTAAATGGTTTGTTACTTAATTAGGATTGGTAATTGGATTTGACTTTGTTATCCTAATGGAATGCTTAGAATCAACTATATTTAACAAAAGTCTAATAAGTTCAAGTCAACTCAATTCCTAACAAGTTTAGTTTAGTTCAATTGAGTTCAACTCAAATCAAATCCTAATGAATTGTTTATGGAATTGTTTATGAGAGAAGAAAATTAGGAAATGAGAACTAAACTAGAAGTTGATTGCACCCGAACTGAACTGAACTTAAGCTTAATAGAAGAGACCCTTAATCCTAACTGAATCCTTTGAAGAAGCCTTTAATCCTAATTGAATCCTATGAAGGCCCCTTTATCCAAATTGAATCTTTTGAAATTCAAATGTCGATTTACAATTCTTAACAATCATGATTATAGTTAAACACTATTAACAATGTAATTGAAACTCAAATTGAATCCTTTAAATTCAATTTAAACACTATTAACATTCCTCATTATAGTCAAACAATGTAATTGACAGTTAAATCCTATACACAATCCTTATTGGAATTGAACTCAATTACCAATCTTAATATAAAGTGAAATGTATTTAAAAACCTTAAATGAGATTTAACTTATCGTAATTATGGTTAAAAACTATTCTTTCATTAATGAAAATAAGATAAATAAATGTCAACAACACTTTATGTTCTTGATGTCAATATCAGACATTAAGAAATAAAGGTCAGACATTAAGAAATAAAGGTACGACATTAACACCAAATTCAATGACAATACAGTTCTACCCCGTTGCTAATACCCCAAAAAACACAATACTCCCAAACCCTAAACCCTCTGTTAACCCTAAACCTAAATCCTCAGTTAACCCTAAACCCTAAATTCCAAACCCCGTCGCATTATGACAGTGTATATGTCAACATTACAATATATATGTTAATATAACTATAAAATAAATTAGATAACTATGTTTACAATATAACATATTGCAATATGACAATGTATATGTCAACATGACAATACATGATAAATGTCATGTCATCATGAGAGACAAACCGTCTGTTAACCCTCTGTCATGTTGTCATAAATGTCATGTTATCAACCTCATTTAATTTGCATAATAACGGACCAATTGTTGTAACGGTCTTGAAAAGCGCGCCAACGATGTATAATTATGGGGCATACAAATTCATACGTACAAATACACACCAATACAAAATAAGGGCCCACCAATAGCATATAATATTGATAAAATTGGTGTGTTGGTCCAGCACTTTGCTGGGCTAAGCGTCACCCTGTAATTTTTGGCCGACGAATTAAACAGTAAACAAGAAGAGAACAATTCTCTAAAATTTGCCCCGTGTATATGTAAAGCCGACAGACACGATACACTAGAAGAATCCCAAGCCACAGACAGTACCCACATTTTGAAAATACAACGGTAGTTGGTGGTTAAACATGATTGTTGGTGGCCGGTGAACAGGTGAACACTAGAGATAACGGTTAAAATTTTTGTGTAAGGTGAAAGTGTTAAGTTTTGTTAAAAATAATTTTTCTTATAATAAGGCTATGTACGTCATTTTAAGTTATTTTGTGGGCGTTAGTTAGAGATTCGAGGACGATGTTTAGCTTTCCACTTTTAATACTTCCCCCTGTATTTTATTGTCTTTTAATTTGACATGTTTTCACTAATTGCAAAAGCTATGCAAACTAGAGTTTGTGAAAAGTAAGGAGGAAGTAATCAGTCGAATCAATATAGAGCCCTGTTGAACCAAATTGCCCATAATTAAAAACAGCCACACACACAGCAAATTAATCAGCAACTCGATCAGCTTAAGCAACTTAGCCACCCTCAACAATTTATTACTCAGACCAAGCTAAGTATGAAATAGCTATTGGACAATCATCCAAACGAAGATCACATACAAGCTGTACATATGCTAGCTGCTGCCGAAGATGAAGCATCTTGCTTTTGACTGTCATTTTGTTCATAAAAACGTAAGATAAGGGTTACATTGCATCTATTTTTACGTGCTCTTCCAAAGCCCTCACAAAGCCTTTGCCTCGCTCTACCTCTACGTCTTTGATACACGAACTAGGTCTCAAGATTCAAAATTTGTGTACTCTATTTACAATTACCGTTCAATCTAAATAGTTTGTACTCATAGATATTGTTTCGGATATTCGGGTCGGTTTTGTATAATTTGATCTTCTTAGTAGACTTTGTTATTTCGTACTTCCGTATTACTATACCATTTATATAGCGATTAAAGTATAAAACATAGGATTAAACTTTGCCCAATGTTGCAAATAAGGGACTGAACTATCAAATTTTGCAAATAGGGGACTAATTGGTCGGAGAGGTATTTTTCCGGCTTGAAACTGGCTCTTGAAGGTAAATCTAATATATAATTGTAGAGTAAGTGAATGAGGAGCCTCCAAAACCTCATTCCTCAACTCTCATGCAATAGGTGGTTTTTTTTTAAAAAAAAAAATAACTACCAATCCCACTACTTTATTATTATTTTTTTTTAAATTAATAACTACTCCATTCACAATTTCCTTTTTGTTTTTTTTTTCCCAATGGACTACTACTAACATTTCACTTTTTTTTTTTTTTAGTACGTAGTATAACATATGACATGCATTAGCACAATTATACAATGCTTTTATCAACATTTCAATATAGCACTCAAAATCCCCAACATTTCATTTTTTTAAAAACACTACGTACTAACATTTCACTTTGTTTTATGAGTTTTTTTTTTTTTGGTACATAGTATAATATATGTCATGCATTAGCACGAGTATACATTTCCTTTATCAATAATTCACTATAGTACTCTAAATTCCCAACCTTTCAATTATATGCATTTTTTTAGAGACTACCCTCCAAACATTTTCCACATCTTAAATCATCAAAAAAAAAAATGTACAACTAGCCTCAGCAAATAACTACTTGCAACAGAACAAAGTATGTAACCCCTAGAGCAAGACACTAACTCATATGACACTAACCGAGTAACACGAATAACCCCTATAACACTGAACGAGTAACCTCGATCTATAACTTTGAAAAAGTAAACCCCATAATAGCATTGCATGGCCATTGACATAAAAGAGTAAGACCCTGTTTTTTAAGCTTATAAGAAAAGCATAGAATATCATATTTCAGCATAGCACAACAGGTGTCAACACATTATTAATACGATTATTAATACTCAATACAACAGAGCTAATTAGGGTTCAACAGAACTGACCAGTCCAAAATCAACCATCATAGCTCAAGTCTAAATCACAACATCAAAATCAGCTTTCCATATTTTAAATAAATTTTTTTCTTATATATCTCGTGCATTTTGCACGGATACACTCTAGTTTGCGTATAAACAAAAAAGTAATCTCTCAACTTAATCTCTTTTTCTTACCTCTCATACACTAGTTAATGATGGTGTGGGAACATTCAATTGATCCTAGAAATGGCTACTGGCCTATTGTTCTGCCACTAAAACAAGGTAGACTCCTAAAATGAAATTCAAATCCCTAATTTCCACTTCTCAATACCCATATTGTCCTTATCTAGAAAGCTAGCACAATTCCACACATAGACCTGGAAACCAATCCAGCAAATTCACCCTTAAAAATGCAGAAACATCAGCAAAATATTAAATATATATGACGTATACATATTACATACAGCAAATAGTTGAGTAGGGTTAGACAGGTAAGCATTAACACTGTTTATCGGCAACTCGGCCAACTTAAGCCAATTAGCCACACATGCAGCAAAGTAATCAGCAACTCAATCAACTTAAGCCAATTAGACACACACAGAGCAAATACACCCTAACCACGAAAATACATCAAACAACATATTTGTTTACTATATTAGGATGATATCCAAAAGTATGCTGCTAGTAATCAGATATCTCCTTGTACATAAATGAAACCCTACAAAGGTAAAAAAAAGAAAACAAATGATAAAGATATATTTAAGGATCAAGCTGAAAGTTAAAAACATAAACAAAGATTAAGTGGGACAGGGAAGAGGGGGTTAAATGAGGTATATTTCTACACTGACCTGCAGCGTTATTGGAGGCAGCTCTGTGAAGAGCATTTTCCGGCCCTGCTCATTGAAAATCATGTCCAATGTAATTTCTTGCAGTGCAACTAAGGTAGTCTCTAGATGTCAAGTCCTGCTTTATTTGCAAGTGAGAAATTTGGCAATGCGTGTGTAATTTCAAAGGAGATAATATGTTCACAGGTTGTATATTGTTTGAAGGGTTGAATGCCCCAAGTGTTAATAACAGCACAATGCCACTCAAATTAACAGTAAGAGTTGCTTCTTTTTGATATGTTGAGTATCACTTTGAACACTCATACTTAAAGGAATAATAACAAACTCAAAAATGAGCATGATTGGTTGTTATGCAAAATGATACCTTCAAAGAGTAGGACAAAATGGGATCAGAATGGCTCCAAAGAGATTTGAGAATGGATTCCCCTCTCTCTTACCGGGTTTAAGCAACTCAACTCCTAGATAGAACCTGTCAATGTAGATTAACTATAATCAGTTACTTGTTGAAGATTTGCATGTCACATTTCACAAGCTATGTTATCAGATTCAGGTAGTTTGATTTTAACAAAAAATGATAAAATCCTGTAGCTTTGACAAATGTTTAGGCTACAAGAGTTCCAGGAGATGAAGGTGAACCATTAAGAGAACCAAAACGAGAAGGGGAGAGCACAGATGCTACACTATGAACAGAGGATATTATACTCCTTAACATATCGTCATGCTCATGCCATAGAAGCAACACTCTCCTGAAGTTGAATCTCCAAAGCAAACTGAAAAGCTACAGTCATCACAATTTCCCACTTACAGACCTGCTATTATAAGCAAGTGATTTATTTCCTGCAGCGCCAACCTCGAGGGCAGATGTAAGGCCAAGAATGCATTTTGGACTTGAAACATCCTGCCATATCATCACCAATATTAAGTCAAGGTCTCGAGGATAGAACAAGGAAGCTAAAACAAAATAAAAATCATTAAAAATGAGTAGCCCAAGTTCAAGAAAACAATCACCTTGGAAGAGTCGGTTGGAATCATTCGGAAACCAGATGGAAGGAGCGGAGCATCATCAGAGAAAGATGCATCTATTGGAGCGAATAAGAGTTCTGCACATGCCCCAAAAGCATTTTCATCTACTTCAATACATAACTGGGAAATCAAACAAATGCAGAAATTGAGATTGTTCTTAAGCATTATCCATATGCATCAATGCAACTAAGTACAGAATTAAGAGTACGCTTACTTGCAGCATAGCATATGTATGTCTCCTGGCATAAACGTGTCTTCAGATTATAACCAAGATTTTCAAGCTGAACAACCCCTATGAACTGTTGAAAACATACAAATAATACTGTCAATATCAGATGTACAATATCAATAAAATCAATCAAGACTAAAGAAAAATGATACGAGGTTTTTTTTGCCTCTTCATTTTCAATTGTGTGTGCAAGAGGAAGAACCACTTGACCCCCAACACATTCAGTAGGAGCAACTGGTATGGTACAAAGAGCAGCTTTGACATCAAATTCAATTTATACGGCTAAAGCCAAAGTCAAATTCATGATTATCCTATAAGACAATTAGAGTTCTGGGTCAATATTATTAAACCAAGACAGCTTGTTATTAAGAAAATAATTTTGTACGTACAATGCCAGACCTTCACAAAATCACAATCATGTACTTGAGCTTGTAATCAAGTAAATAGGTGGTCATGCTTTCATTAGTTTCTATGTATATTTCTGTTACAGAGATATTGCCTGAAGGGCCCTGAACCACAAAATTAGTACAAAGACATTGCAAAAGTATAATCACCCTCAGGTAATAAATGGTACCACTGTCTGAGCATTTTGAAAGATAGAGCAGCCACAATTTAATGAGCATCACCTAAAGTTCCCACACAGTTACACTTTGTTTGGATAGGAAGAAATGGAAGGAAAAGAAGAGAAGAGAAATGGAGGGGGACAAAATCTCTTGTTTGGGTAAAAGATTGGGGGAAGGAGAGGGAGGGTTCCATTTTCCCTCTCTCTTTAATAACCATAATCTCTCCAAAATTGGAGAGATTTGGAGGGAAAATGGAGCTCACTTCCCCCTCCCTTTCTTTTCCCTTCCCTTCCTCCATTTTCCCTCCCCTTCTTTTCCTTCCTTCTTTGCTATCCAAACAAAGCGTTAAGGACTTAAGGACATGTAAACCTATAAAGCACAATATTCCAAAACAATGATAATTCCCGCACATACCATTTAAAAGCCATAATTTAGGTATAGTGTCATATAAACAGCTTTCATATAAGGCTAACAACAAATTCAAGCCAAGTTACATTACATACTACATAGCAATATAGCAATCTGAGAAAAGGATCATCAATCATACTCAGGAGAGTTCCAAAAGAACAAAGCATAAACAACTAAACATAGACGAAACTTAAATGAAACTAACAAAGGAAATACAGTTACAAGATATGTATCCAAATCAATTCAAAATTAAGGGGAAAAATTCTACAACATACAAAAGATTGAAAACTAATCATAACCTGCAAAGAACACCATAAAACTTGAAATTCATCATCAAGCTTGTGTTTGGAGACTTAAGATCTAGATTGCAGACATAGGCTCGAGCCCTAATTCCTGAAACTTGATACCTAACAAAAACGACAAGAATTCAATCAAACACAAATTCGAAGAACTCTGAATGATACAGAACTTGTCTGAAAAGTTCAAAGCCAGGGTAATTCAGTAATAGTTTTACAGACCTTGTCTGCATTTTATATACACTTAATAGAACAAATTTGGCCTTAAATCACCCTATTATTTCCTGTACTAATCCCAAAGTCAAGAAAGTTCCTAAATTTGCATAAATAACCAAATTTACAGTACAATAACAATCAGCACTTCAACAGAACCTAATAATATCAAAATCATCGTAACAAATTGAATAAAAACTCCAACTTCCCTAAAAAATGAGTCAAAAGTCAAAGATTAAGCAAAGTAATCAACATCATCCTAGCAAACAGAACACAAACTACAAAAGTCCTATAAAAATGAATCACAAATAAGATTAAGCAAATAAATAATACTTATTCCAGTACAAAATTTACAATATAACACTACAGAATCTAATTAAATTTTTAAATAGACATGATTTAAGCATAAATTATGCAAATTTAAGTTAACTGCTAAAAAGGATTCAAAACCAAGGATCAAGTAAGTCTCATTAGATTATTGAAATAGAACTCATGAAAAAAAATATAAATAAAAAAATCAAAGTAATTAGGATTGAAATTAGGATATCAAATTAAAAAAAAAAAAAAAAAAAAAAAAAAAAAAAAAAAATTTGACATTATCAGCGAAGTGGACGTTCTCTTGAGATTGAGGGATCGTAGGAATAACCAATGTTGTAGGAATAACTAATCAATTTTTTTGCCGGCGATCAAACCCAATGCAGCAAGCTGGCGATTACACCACTCCATACACCTCCAGCTCAACACTACGAATGAAGGAGGGGAGAGAGTGAGATGATGAGAATACGAGCAAGTAAGAAGATGACAACTATAGAAGAGCAGGAAAATCTGAAAAGCAAAATGAAAGGAAGGGAGGAGAAGGCAGAAAAGGCTACTGATGTGGCCAAAGCAAAGGAGAAGCATACCAAGGGCAATAGCAATACCATAGTCTTACTGTTTATTTTCAACATTAAACAACTTCTCACATTTATAGTAGTAAGATATGCAATAAATGTTTTTTCTTTCCCTTTGTAAGTTGTCATTATTCTCCATCTTTCACCTCAACATATGCATCTCTATTTTTCTTATATGCAAATAATATGAAAAAAAAAAAGGTAATACTTCGTATCAAAATTAAATTTAATAGAAAAGCAGTGGCGAAAGCAAACCAATCAAAGGACCACTATTCATGTACCAAAGATGACTTCCACCAACTGATTTTGCTCCTGTTATCTGGTGAATATATGTGAGGTATACATACAGCAAATAGTTGACTAAGAGGAGATAGGAAAGCATTGGCACCGTTTATCAGTAACACGATCAGCTTAAGCCAATTTGCCACACACGCCAGCAAATTAATCAGTAACTCGATCAGCTTAAGCTAATTAGCCACACACACAGCAATTAATACTTAGACCAAGTATGAAACAGCTACTGGACAATCATCCTCTAAGCACATAACCAAATGTAGGGAGAAGGGAGCAATTCTTCTACAAGTTAATAAGAAGTATTTAAGTTAGTGGCAAAGCACGAATGAAAGGTAAAAAAGAACGCCAGTCGTTCATACAACAAGGTGCGCTTTGCAGTTACAATACCCATCTTTTACTATTCTATTATTGATTAAAAACCAACTGACTTAAATCAAACATCTATTTATGATGGAATACCAGACAGTGCAAAACACTTGAGATACAGTAAAAGTTGGAGGAAGAATTAAATTCTAACTAATAAGCCATAACTTCAAAAAGGATGCGTGTACCTATCTTAGCCATATAGCTGTAAAACAAGACAAAAGGTGATGAAATAGCTCAACAAAATGAGATTTTACTAAAACTAATTAAACAATTTCTTGTCCACGGATACAGGCGAGTTCCTACTACCAACAATTGCGTATAGGAGCCGGGCACTCTATTAAGTCTGTAAAACCACAGAAATGTCACAAGCAGGATGTGGTTAAAAAGAGTAACTAAGGCACTGCTTGCAGAAGTATTAATGGACATGGCACTTAATAAGAAATTTCATAAAGTGCCACAATTATCTCAATCCTGGTCTCTTGCTACCATCACTCTTTCCACTGAAAGATTGAGTCGCCATAAATCTCATTTGGAGATCATATGATGGGACAAATCCCTGGCCTTCCATCAGCTTATACATCCTTTGCGCATCTTGCACAAAGTCACCTTTTAGAAGTGTGTGTATAATTCTCTCAAAGTCCTGGTATTCCAAAAGGTCCTTTTTGGCCTCCAGAACCCCTAAAGCCTGAAGTGTCTTCTTCTCCATCTTAGCTCTAGCATACATGTCACAAAGGCTTACTTGAATCTTGAAAGGAGGAGCCTCACCCAGCTTAGCAATTTTTGTCAACATTTGCTCAGCCTCATCAATCAACTGCAACTTACCCAACCAATCTACCAAAACACTGTAAGTAGAAACTCCAGGTTCAAATCCACCCTTTTCCAGCTGAAGTAACAGATTTAATGCCTTGCCTAGTTCGTTTTTCTTCTCATATGCAGAAATCATGTATGAAGTACACCTGTCATCAGGTTTGAATCCAAGATTCATCATCTCGTTGAAACAGTTTCTTGCTTCGCTAGGATTACCAGATTTGACACATGCCTCAAGAAGCAACGCGCAAGATTCTGCAGTTTGTTGGAACCCTGCAAACTGCATAGTGTTCACAATTCTTTGAGCTCCAATACTATCACCGTTTTTGGCAAATGCCCGCAGCAAGGCCATATAAATATCCTCTGTGGGTTTCATGTCTCTAAGCTCCATTTCTCTCATGAGTGTTTCACCCAACTTGGGCTTCTCAGCATTGACATACATCATTATCATTGAGTTGTAAACCTCCATATCCGGTTTGAATCCTTGACTCTTCAATGCTTCATAAGCTGCATTTGCCTGCTCAACATTGTTCCCCTTGCTATACATGTAAAGTAAAGCAGTTAAGATTACAATATCTGGCTCCATGCCAATTTCACTCATCTTCTTAAGAATCCTTTCAATATCCTCTGATCGATTCTCTTCACCATAAATATCAATAAGTTTTGAGTAGTCTCTGATGTTAGCTTGGAAGGAAGGCTCATCAAGGACATGTTCCATCACCTACCAATTGCATTTATAGACACATTATCAGATTTACTAATCCAGACTGAAAGCAATCACATCAAAGCAAACAAAACCACATTGCAAATCACATGATACATAAAATTGACTATCCACAAGGTCAAAAAAAGCAGCCATTACTATATCTAAATCATACTCAAACTTTAGCCAAAAGCATTCATAAGTCAAAGCCAAAAAAGAGTATAAACAAAAATTTAAACAATTAAGCAACCACTTAAACAGAATAATGGAAGTTCTATATCTACCAACTATACAATGTAAAATAAACTACATTTCAATCATCAAAACCAAATCAAAGAGTTTGAAATTAAATCATACCTTAATATACATAGAGCCATCTCGTTCCTTGATTCTCTGAAGCAAGGAAACCCAATCAACCCTATTAGGCTGCAACAACTCCTTCCATTCATTCAGCAATTGAGAAACCACGGTATCGAAATCGTCCTGTTTCCCCAATCCAAGAATCTTCTCTGTAACTAATTTACATTTCCCAGTGATTGACTTAGCCTCTTGAGGAGAAATCACCTCCCCTGCCTCATGAACCTTATCAGCCACTTCTTTCCACATTGAACCTGACAAATCAAGTCCATATAACTTATACTTAATCTTCCCATGCCTCTTTGGCAAACCACCATCATCATTATTACCCACAAAACTATCCTCCACCACTTCGGCCCCGGCCCCGGCCCCGGCACCGGCCTCGGCCTCAGCCTTGCCCAATTCCCCCTCCTTCGCCGCCTCACTGGCCTTCTCCAACCCCTCGTAGAACTCGGCCTTCTCCATCGCCTCGCGCGCCCACTTAAACCTCAGCTCGTGCAGCATATCCCCACGAACACCCACCTCACTAGCAAACCTGGCCATCGATTTAACCTCCTCCGATTGCAAAAACTTCTTCATCTTCTCCTTCTTCTTCTCTCTCTCCATTTCTAAGTACACATTATTGCTCACATCCCAAACAGTCTTCCACAAATCCTCGCTGAAATCGCCATTCCCAGAAACCAATTTCTCCTCTAAATTACCCCCTTTTTCCATCTCACTCACCAATTTCTCCACAATTACCAACAACATAGCATCAATGGTGGGCTTATCGCAATCTGGGTATGACTCGTTTAGCTTCCCACGCATATTGTGCACGAATCGGGATAAGAACTCATTCATGGCGGCCTCATCTTCGTCTTCCTCGTCATCGGCTACAGCAGCAGAGACAGAGTGATTGAGTTGAGGAGAAGAATGGAAGTTCTTGATTTGGGTGGGTAGAAATGGTGGGGTTTTTAGTTGATTTTGAGTGTGATTGTGGTGAGCAACAAAAATTGCGGATGAAGAGGAAGAAGATGAAGTGATTCGGGTGAGTTTGTTGAGTGTTTGCTTGGAAATCAAATGTCTGAGTCGAAGATTCATGGTGAAAATGAGAAGAGAGAGAAAGAGAATCGGGAAAGAGAGGAGGTTGAAGGTGGTGTTACAAATCAGGCTTAAACCCTAGTGTTCGTCAAATGATGACAGGGAGTTTGACAAAAGTTGGGGAAGAGAGGCTAAAGAGAGTCGAACGAATCGATCACGAGTTGAACGGTGCTCGACTCAGCTTACAAAATTTCCACATGTGCTCGATTCGTGCTCATTAAAGTTTTGAGTTGAGTCTGATAGCTCACGATCAGCTCGTTAAGATTTTGATCCTTATAAATTTAGTGTAAATAATCCCAACTTTTGATTATAATGTAATGATCCCAACTTTTACCGCATTTTCCTTTTTCAATCTCAATCTATAACTTTATATTAAAGGCGAAATCTGAAATGACACATGTCATCTCCTGGTTAAAATTTTTCCCTCCAAAAGTTTTTTATTTTTATTTTTTTGGCCAAAGCTTCTTGGAGAAGTTTATAATACAAACTATGCAATAATATTTCATTTCCTATTTGATAAGTATATTCTATTTGTACAAATTTAAACAAAGATATTATATTATACAATGTAATGTAATTCATAGTTATTTTTATTAGTCGTGCATATATTATTGTCTTTGTTTTCTATAGTGTGATAAATTTTTAATTTTTTTTTTTGTTATTACAGAACTTTCGTCCTATTTTGCAATTAGGTATGATTTTTTATAATTAAATAATAGTGTCAAACTAATGATAAGTATTAAGTATTAAAAATTATCGTGCACGGCACGGGACTTAACCTAGTTATCACCTAAAAAAGAGTTAATTTTTTTGTAAAAAATATAATTGCCACATGTCACTCGTTTGTTGGTTCAAATTTTTATTTTTTTGATAAATTTTTTATAATAAATAGAAGATTAAAATAAATAAATCAAAGCCCAATAGTCCTGGTTATTGGGAGGGTCAGTGCGGGTCAGTAATGGGGCGGGTCATTTGCGGGTCATTTGTAATTTTAAAAGGGTCAGGGCTGGGTCAAGGTCAAGAGGGTCAGGGGTGGGTCGGGTATGAAGTAAAATTAAAGCAGGTCATTAATGGGTCAAGAAGTCGTGGAGTACAAACTCTAGAGCACTCATTTCAATATTTCTTCTGTAAAGTTCCATAATTGTTCTTAAAAAAAATTCTAACAACTATATCCCAACACCAGTTCATTGCAAATCGTTTTAATAGAAAAAAAAATATACACTCATCAACTTATATTGTAGATTCGAGAGTTAATGATTTCTAAATCTAAATTTTTGAAGTTGGGAATTCTAAGAAAGAAATCAGATTTATTATAAGATTATTAAGAAAAGAATCTTGAAGAAGAATTCTAGGTTGTGTAAATTGATAGCAGGAGACGGATCTTTCAGCACATCAATGAGACAATGAGAAAGATGACGACGAAGAATCTTTCGGCGAAGTAAAAGCCTTGTAATTGTAAATCTGAATTAAAGATAGAAGAGAAAGGGAAAGCAGGAGAGAGAGCGTTCAACTTTTATTTATTTAGGTGGCCCTTTTGATGACCCTATATCTATTTTCATTTTTATAGGGTTATTCACAAGAGCCCAATAATGACCCTTTAAGGAGAGACCCTACATGAGCCATGTCCATTTAAATAATTAAAGGGTCATAGCCCTTTAAATTTGGCCCGACCCTACTGCCCATTGGACTACCCTGTCTAATAACCAGGGCTAAAGCCCAAGCCAGCTATGGCCACCGCTAGTGGCCGCGACCTCCTAAGTCAAGCCTATTTTCGACCTTGATTATCGATTCTGGCACCGATCACCAATTTCCGACCACTCGAGTTGAGCATTTAATTTTTGGAGTGCATAAATCCATGTTTCCATTCAATACATTTCATAAACCAATCCAGTTTCTAGCTCATTTCCCTAAACCATAACTTATTTTCCACTTTTCGTGTCCACGTCACTAAACCGAGAGCAAATGATTTTTTGAACCAATAATTTTGATCCAATTATTATTTGGTTGGATAGGACTTTTAATAAGCTTTCCAACAATATATCGTAAGCCCAATTCCGATTTAAAACAAAGAAGATATGAGCAAAATACCAAACTCGGCCCAAAACCGTCACCCTTTCACTGAAACGCCCATATCTAAAAATCTACAAATGATTTTGACTTGATTCTAATTGGTTTAGAAAGTAAACTTGATAAGATCTCCAATCATATATTATATGCCTTATTCCAAGTTACGGATCAAAAGTTATAATAGTTTTAAAAACGCGAAAAAAACTGGAATTGCCGCGTCACAATATCTAACGTGGCACGGCAGCTAGTACCGTGTCACAACAATCTTTATCGTGTCGCAGTACACATACCGTGACACGGTGCTTTTTCGAGTCATTTTCGCATTTTTCTCACGCGCTTTTTTTACCGTGTCACGGGATTTTCCCGTGTTTTCTCTTGTCAGGATATTTTGTCGTGTCGTGGCAGACTCTGTCGTGTCATGGCGCCCCAAAATTAGGGTTTTATATTTTTAGGGTTCCTTATGTTCCCTCTGCTCATTTTCTCTATAATTACCCCCTCCTTTCTATAGTTTGGGGCATCAAATCATTCTCTCTTTCTCTCTTCTACACCAAAAATCATTCTCTCTCTCTCCCTCTTTAACCTAATTTCTAGCTTCCCTATTCTTCTATAATTCCTTCCTTAAGCACTCAAAGGAGTCCATCCTTGACCCGAGGTTTCGTCCTTAAACAAAGATGTGAAAGGTACAAATAACTGAGGGTTTGGACCAAATTAACTCTACATTAATTTAATTTAATTTCCATTTGATTTATATTTTTATTGAAGTTACTAACAGTTTATTCATGATGTAGCAATTCAAGGAAACGCAGAAAGTGAGTAATTAATCACTCAATTACTTTTATTTTTATTCTTGTTGCTAGAATCATGATTAGATTTATTTATATTTGATTTGACTAACCAATTTATTGTTGAATTGCATGCTTCCAATATTAATGTTGATTTTTACTATATTTGTTGATCACCATATTTCAAGTTAAAGGGAATATGTAATTGAAAATCAAGCCTAATAAGATAATTTGGTCAACTGGTTTAGGTTCCTTTTTAATCTTGTTATTAATTAAAGTGATCACTAATAATTAGAATTATATGTTGCATTAATATTCAACCAATTTAGCATAATAATAGTTTGGAGCAATTATGAATCTTTGTTTGTATGCCTTTGAGATCGCAGGAATCACTTTTCATAATAAGAATCGAGTAGAGGCCAATACGGGTGCATGTGACTCCATGCTCACTTTGTACCATCATCCCCGATCCTACTTTCGTGGTTCCAAACCATATGGAGTTAGTAATCTCATGGATTATGAATGGGGTGTGTAGGCGTCACTCGAAGTGCACCTACGTAAAAGTATGTTGTGAATATGCTTGGCACTCATAGGAAGTGGGAATTGACATAATACGATTAGGGACAAGGGAAGCAGGGAGCCGCCAATAAGTTTTTAAGGAACTTGTAAACCGTTCACGGATCATAAAAGGCAACCACGATAAAGGGACAACGATAGGCAACAACGATTGACCCGTAAAGGTTATACCCCATTCATAATCCATGAGATTACTAACTCTATATGGTTCAGAACCACGAAAGGAGGATCAGGGATGATGGTACAAAGTGAGTCATGGAGTCACATTCGCCCAATTGGCCTCTACTCGATTCTTATAGTGAAAAGTGATTCCTGCGATCTCAAAGACATGCAAACAAAGATTCAATTTGCTCCAAACTATTATTAGGCTAAATTGGTTGAATATTAATGCAACATATAATTCTAATATATCGTGATCACTTGATTTAACAACAAGATTAAAAAGGAACCTAAACCGGTTGTCCAAATTATCTTATTAGGCATGATTTTCAATTACATATTCTCTTTAAACATGCATGCAATATGGTGATCAATAAAAAATAATAGAATTAACATTAATATTGGAAGCAATTCAACAATAAATTGTTAGTCAAATCAAATATAAAATAGCCTAATCATGATACTAACAATAAGAAAATAAAATAAGAGTAATTAAATTAACTAATTACTCACATTCCGCGCGTTCCTTTAAATTGCTACATCATGAATAAATTGTTAGTAACTTTAATAAAAATATAAATCGAATTGAAATAAATCAAATAAAAAGTAGAGTTGATTTGGTCCAAACCCTCAGTCAATTATACCTTTCACGCCTTGGTTTAAGTATAGAACTTTGGGTATTATATGGACTCCTTGGAGTGCTTAAAGCAAGAAATAGTGGAAGAATAAGGAGGCTAGTGTTTAGGCTAAAGAGGGAGAAGAGAATTATTTGATGATCAATCTTGTTGATAATTGAAAAAGGGGAGATATGACCTCTATTTATAGAGAAAAAAGAAGGGTCGAAGAATCAAGAAAAGATCCGAATTAAATCGGAATAAAACTCAATAGACAGCAGTTTTTGCGGTTTTTGTTTTTATCATATCTTTTGATCAAGAAATCGGAAAAAGATGAATAAGATATCGTTGGAAAGCTATTGAATTATACTTTCTAACCCAATTAGAATCAGATTAAAATATTTTTTATAACAAAAGATATATCCAAAATAGTGAGACGGTGTCAGTTTTGGATAGAGTTTGACATTTTATTCATATCTTTTCCGTTATACCTCGGAATTGATATTATAATATATCATTGGAAATATAATTTCATGGTCTATCTAACCATATAAAATTTGGATAAAAACTATGAGGAAAGAAAATAATATCTGTCTATCTTTGAACGTCTTTCAATTCGGATAGAAATAGGATTTTCAAAAAGAAAAGTTTTATTCAATTTCAAACTCTTTAATCTTATCTTTTTAAAAAGGATAATTAAGATATTTTAGAAACTTATACAAGCTTCTAATTATTCCTAATTGGTTTAGGATTGGGATTAAAGCTTTTGGACCCTCCACATGATCATTGGGTCGTAGGTAAGGTGGGTTTAGGTTCGGTTTGGGCTCGGCTTAATATTTTGGCCATAATTTATTCGTTATAACTCGGATTTGGGCTTATAATATATCGTTGGAAATATCTTTTCAAGCCCCATCCAATTATTTAATCATTAAACCCAGATAATGGACCACAATAAACTGGAATAAAC